TGGCCGTTTGAAGTGACTAATTTCTGTCATATGACTGAGGCGCCCATGGGGGTGGCGGAGCGGCTTTAGGAGCGGGGGCCTAGCAGGCGCCCAGCGGAGCGACCCCGGCCTGGACGCGGGCAGCATGGCCCCTACGCTGTTCCAGAAGCTCTTCAGCAAGAGGAGCGGGCTGGGCGCGCCTGGCCGAGACGCCCGGGACCCGGATTGCGCGTTCAGGTAGGGCGCTGTGGGGTCGGGGGGGCGCGGGGCCGATACCCTTCTGGGCTCCGGGCGCCAGAGGTGTCGGGACCTCGGTGCTCAGGCTCGCGCGGGAACGCCGCGCTGGGACCAGCCGTTGGTCCACGGTGGGGTGGAGCCGGCGACGGACTCGGCTGGCGGGTTGGAGTGAGGATCTAGCCCCTTTCTTCCTCCAACCCCCGCGTTGCCCCTTCCCCCTTCCTCCGTTCGGTTTGTTTACGTCCTGCCCGCAGCCACGCGCAACTCTGCCCCTCCGGACCCAGCGCCGCGGCCTGGGGCGTCGGGTCCACACGCCTTCCTGGCACCGCGTAGAGTTGGGCGCGGGCTGGATTGGACCTCAGCCGCCGTCCTCCGGCCGAGAAATACTTCCCTCCTCCCCGTGACCAGTCGTCCTCTGGGCGCTCCATTCCAGCTCGCTTGGCGTTGTGGAGGGAGCGGCACGTTTGGCCAACCTTCCGAGTGTGGAGAAGGCTGGAGGAGCGAGCGGGCAGGGTGCTGTTCTTTCAGGTTTGTCGGACACTAAAACTGGAAGTGTGCAGTTACCGGACCGAGCGGCCTTAATGTTCTCGAAGGAAACATGTGAAAACTAAGAGTTTAGGGTTGCTGCCGAGCTGATTGAAGCAGGACCGAATCAAGTGAAGTCTGGCGTTGGACTTAGCCGTAGAATCGCCCTCCTCAGAACTGTTACCCAGTTGAAAACGATAGCAAAATATTTTGTGGTGTTACAGGCTTTGTTAATTTTTCATTGTAGTACCTGTTGCTTGGCAGAGTAACTTTTTTAGAATGGTGAGATTTGATACGAACCCGGGTTCAAGGTAAAATTTGGCCATGAAACTGCACTTGAAAAAGAGGTTATGTCCCTCCCAAACAGCTTTCATACTTATTACAGTGTGGAAACTTGCGAATATAACTAGGCTAAATGTCAAATATCACTCAAACTTAGTAGACTAGCAGAGAGCCCAGTTGTACAGTCGTAGTAGGGAAAAAAATGAGAATCTGTCAAATTTTGCAACAGGCAAAAGTGTGTAAATGTGTCACACTAGTTTAAGTTTTTATATTCTTAAAATTATTCACCCTCTCTTGCCTATCAGATCGCATCAGGAAACATTCAGTCAATATACGTGGAATTTAAGTATTAAATTGAAAGATATTTAACTTACTGTTAGGGGAAGAGAAATCTGAGTTGTGAACATCTTGGAAAAGTGCTTAGAAAAAACTTAGAAAAAGACAGTATTTATTTTCACCTGGAAAATAAATGTCATGCTATGCTCATGTCTTTAAACATTTCTTTACTGTTTTTCCTTTTAAAAATGAAAATGCATCTTAGATTAAATTATATACTACATTGAACCATCTGGTAATTCAGGACACAATAGGAAGGAGGTTTTGGAGGGATATTTAAAAGGTAACACTTGGAGCTTTGGCCCCCTCCCCTCTCCTTTTCTTTCTTATTTACTTTCTAAATAAACTTCTTGAAAACTTTTTTTTTAAAGGTAACACTTGAATAGGCAAATGTTTTCTGTTTCTGAGCAGAGATTGACTCTGCCCAAGTTTTCAAGGGTCTTAACTCACTCATGTGAAAAAAACATTTTCATGTTTATTTTTAAAAAATGAACGGGGCTCGGTGGCTCAGCCTGTAATCTCAGCACTTTGGGAGGTCGAGGCGAGTGGATTACCTGAGTCCGCGGGTTCAGACCCACCCGGGCAACTTGGCGAGACCTCGTCTCTACAATAAAAAAAAAATTAACCGAGTGTGGTAGCGTATGCCTGTAGCTCTGGCTACTTGGAAGGCTGAGGCAGAAGGATCGCCGAAGCCCAGCAAGTCGAGGCTGCGGTGACCGGGAGGGTGCACTGCACTCCAGTCTTGGCGACAGAGTAAGACTGTAACTCAAAAAAAAATGTAATGTGTATTGTATAGGTGTGTAAAGTCAAAGTACTTTCTCGTCGGTTATCTCATTTGCTGTTTCACAACAATTTTAAGAGATAGGGCAAGTAGCAATACGGATAACTATACAATACCTTTTTCAGTGGAAGTAACAATAACTGCAATATAGAATTGACTGTTTTAAAAGTAAAATGTGTACAATTGTACATGTGAAAAAAGGAATATTCTGGTTAAGGTCACATGACTTAACTTGTAGATCTAATTAATCCAACTTTTTTTTTTTACAATCTTACAGCTATAATTTATATACAGTAAAATAAGAATGCATTTTACTTATATAGTGTGTACCCACCACCCCAATTAAGGTTTCCGTTACCCAGAAAATTGCTCGCTGCAGTCAGTCCCTAACCACACTTCACCCAGGGAAGTCACTGATCCTGCTTTCTGTCATTTCTGGCAAAAGTTTAGACTTTTCTAGCTTTGCATTTAAATGTAATATTACATATAGTCTTGTGTCTGGCTTATTTTCACTCAGAATGATTTTGAGATTTATCCATTTTGTTCCTTCCATTTTATAGCCAAATGGTATTCCATTATATGGATATACCACAATTTATTCACTAGTTGGAGGACATTTGGGTTGTTTCCAGATTTGGGCTCTTATGAACAATGCTTGTTGTGAATGTTTGTTTGCAAGTCTTTATGCGGACATATATTTTCATTTTTCTTGGCTGGATACTTAGGAGTCAGATTGTTGGATCATTTGCTAAGTGTTGTGTTTAACTTAAAAAAAAAATTGCCAAACTTTTCCAGAATAGTTGTACCATTTTTTATTGCCAGTAACAATGCGTGAAGGTTGCAGTTGCTTTACCGTCTCTCCAATACTTGATCTTGTTAGTCTTTTTTAAAAATTAAATCCTTTATTGTGGTAAAAAACCTAACATAAAATTTACTGTCTTAATCTTTTGAATCTTTTCATTATAGCGATTGTAGTAGTATCTTGTGGTTTTATTTGCATTTCCCTAAGATGTTTAGCATCTTCCTATGTAATGTAGGTTTTTGAGTAGACTAACATTCGTTTTCATTTCAGTATACCATGCTTTCCTTTCTAGAATCATGTTTTTGGTTTTGTTCTAATTAGCTTAAGCTGATAAATCAAAGTTGAGCACATATAGCCATTGGCAACTCACTGTAGCTCAGTATCTAAAGGCAGTTCCTAGAGTAACTAATATACAAGGCCTGGTAAGACTCTAGGGTAGGAAATACTTTTGATAAAGAAAGTTTTGAGCTTTTCCGTATTGTCTTTCATGGTTGCCCCATTGGAAAAGATGTCCCCCTTTTCCTTCAGTCTTCCACTCTAAGAACCCTTACCTAATAGATTTCTTTGTGCTTTTTTAAGTTTTTTGAACTGGAGATGAATTTGAAGACTAATTGGGAGGATATTTTCTCAGTCATTTATAGAATTGAAACAGTAATTTGCTTTCTCCATTTCAAGAGTTTGGGAAAGAAGGTGCTTTCTAGGAGAAGATATTGCTTTACATTTTCTCCATTTTTTCTCCCATTGAAAGTAAGAAGAATTAAATATAAACCCAATAACTGCAGTACATAGACAAATGATTGCTTTAAAAATAAATTCTTGAAAAAAATCTAATTTGGTTAAGAATGTTGTTTTAAAGTAAAATGACTGTAGATCATAATATTTTGTTCAAAAAACATTTTTTGTTGTACAGATTAAGTGTCCTTTACCCCAAATACTTGGGGCTAGAAGTATTTCAGATTTTAGAATATATGCATATATATAATGTGATCTCTTGAGGATGGTACCCAAGTCTAAACATGAATTCATTTATGTTTCATGCTCGCCTTATACACATAGCCTTATACACATAGCCTGAAGGTAATTTTATGCAATATTTAAAAAAATTTTGTGCATGAAACAGAGTTTTTTGTTTTTTGAGTTAGAATCTCACTCTGTCACCCAGGCTGGAGTGCAGTGGCCACCACAACCTCGGCCTGCTGAGCTCAGGTGATCCTTCTACTTCAGCCTTCCAAGTAGCTGGAACTATAGGCATGCACCACCATGCCCGACAAATTTTTTTTTTTTTTTAATTGTAGAGATGAGGTCTTGCCAAGTTGCCCAGGCTGGTCTTGAACCTGTGGGCTCAGGCAGTCCTCTCACCTCAGCCTCCCAAAGTTCTGGGATTATAGGTGTGAGCCACAGCACCTGGCAAAACAAAGTTTTTACAGTGTTTTTTTTTATTGTGACTCCTCACATGAGGTCAGGTGTAAAATTTTTCACTGTGTCATGTCTATCCTCAAAGAACTTCAGATTTTGGGTTTTGGGATTAGAGATGCTCAGTTATATTCCAGTTGTATGAACATTTGATCTGTTCTCTGTAGCAGGGATTCTTAACCTGTTCAAACAATCTTTTAATTGGTTTTTCTGCCATCACTCTTTCCTTTCCCCAAACTACTGTCAACACCTCATACCTAGGAAAACATGCAAGTTCTGATCATGATCAGCAGACAGGATAGTGTATAGAATTTAATATCTTCACTATAGGATTATTTTAAGGATTCAAAGATAAGTCACGTAAAGTACGTAATGTGGTGTTTAGCACATGACTTTCAGGAACCAGAAGTTGTTACTATGATGACACCATTCTCATGTAAAAATACTTAGTTTGGGCCAGGTGTGGTGGCTCAAGCCTGTAACCTCAGCACTTTGGGAGGTAGAGGCCAGAGGATTGCCTGAGCCCAGGGGTTCGAGACCAGCCTAGACAACATGGCGAGACCTCGTCTCCACAGTAAATCAAAAAATAAGCTGGGTGTGGTAGTGTGCACCTGTAGTTCCAGCTACTTGTAAGGCTGAGGCAGAAGGATTGCCTGAGCCCAGTAGGTCAAGGCTGCAGTGGCCGGGAGCATGCCACTGCCTCCAGCCTGGGTGAAGAGTGAGACTCCAACTCAAAAAAATAAATAAATAAAAATATTTAGTTTGAACCTGAATTCCTTAAAGTGTAACTTTTGCCAATTCTGTATTGTGTGGCCTTTGCCAGTTCTCTAGCCTTGACATTTTTTTTCTTTACATAAGGTC